GACTTTTATTGTTTCTTGCTATTGGGGTGTGTGTGTGGTTGTTGCTGCTAAAGAGTAACATTTGTAAAAGAACAAATGCATATCAATTTTCCTTAGCGTTTTCTCAACCTGAAGTGCTGAGACAAGCAAAACATGTTTCCATTACTTAACTAAGCAAACAATGGCATATAAATTATAGAGGCAGCTGGACCAAGGTGTCATTTTCATAAAGAGCCAGATTTCTCATGAAGGACAGTTTAATGGGCTGCTGCCAGTGAAATGTCTGCAGAGCTGGTAATTGCAGGAGGGCACACAAAAAGTGGCGTTAGAAAGGTGTCGCGTGGGAGCTGAGAAATAGCCCCACAGCCAAGGCAACTGGAAAAAGGAGTCTGAACAAGGTGTGTGCTTTAATAGCTTGCTTCTCGAGGCTGATTGTTTTAAATAAAAATCTAAGTTTTTATTTTTAGCTTGTTCACATTGGCTGCAAGATCAGAGAAGTGTTTTTAGCTGTAATTTTATTTTGATCGTGTTTATGCTGTGGCTTTGTTTCTCCTTTGATCATACTTAAACATGTTTCAGACATGTTTGTTTGATGTACGCTGTTTTTTAAAGCACTCTTCCACATTGTCTGCTTGTGTTTTTTTAAAGCAACGAATCGTTGCAAAATATTTGCCGTCAAATTATTTCTTAAATTCATTTTCCCAAAACATGCTTTCTGGCCTTTTAGCCAATGGTAGACTGCTTTTAAACAAGAAAGTGTTGAACTGTTGTAACAGCATTTCTGAGCACGTCACGGATTGGAGACAGTTTTAGTGTTGCGGAATACCTGCTAATTCATACATAGAAATTTGAAGTCATCCTATCTATCCACAATAGCTGCAGTGCACTGACTTTTACAATTGTCACCAGTGGGTTTGGATCAAAGTCCCACTTTCCATTCGGTAAAACTTGCTTGAATTTCATTCCAGCACTTGTTTTGTGGCTATGTTGAATGTATGAAATAGGTCAACCCTGACTGAATTATTTTAAACTTCCCATGGGGACCCCTTGATACTCAACCTGTTTAATTTTGCAGGGTAAGGCAGGGCAATCTCAATACTTGAATGTACACGTTCATGGATGACATTCTTTCTTCTGCTGCATGGGTGAGCAATTAGGAGAATCAAGAAGTCCCTCATCTGTGGACAACATCTCCCTTCCCTTTCTCAAAGAAGAGCAATAAAAATATACTACGTAGTCCATGGAGAGCGCTATGTTGCGTGACTGCAGGCCATCTGGCTGATTGATTCATCATGACCCTAAACAGTTAGTTGTAAGCACGGTCTAAAGCCCTGGAGTTAAATGCAAGTGTGCATCAAGCCGCAGGCAAGTCAAATAGCTTCTCCGCTAATGAAACAATAGAGAGCACACTACAGATCACTAGTTCACACCACCCACTTCTTAGCTTTATAACCTAGGAAATTATCAACCACATTTCTCTCCCTCTCTCCACACATATAATCATGATGTTGCTTTTATGATCATTATATTCATTCTGAACAGAAATGTATCTATTTCTATATGCAACAGAACACATGTAGCCTGTTCTTCCTTTATTTGCTTCATTGCATAGACATAGATCTGTTATATGAAAGAGGGGAAAAAAAGCAAACACCACCAGGTAACAAGAACAAGGGCCCTATAACATGAAGAACCACTCTTTTATTGACTAAAACATATCGATTTAACCAGATAGCGAAATAGCCTGAGGTTTGCTCAGTAAGAAACACCAGTGTTATTCAACAAAAACTGTTCCATGATGTACAATGGACATGTTCTAATATAAGGCTGTGTGACTGCTTCATTTTCAGGGATGTAGTTAGGATTATTAATCACTAATTGAAAATCTGAATTCATCCCAGATGTGCACTGGTAAGAAATGTATACAAAGCATATTCACATGTGCTCTGGCTATGGCGTTAGTTATATCTGCCTTCCTCACACCCCTCTCCTCTGCTACCACTCTGACAGAATTATTTGAAATATATATTTTCAATTTCTTAAACTAT